CACTGCCTTTATCCAAACATCTCGCTCTCCCAAAACATTCGTTTGATAAATTGTCAGTGACGCTCCTAGAATCTGGATTTAAATCAAATCGCGAACGTGAACAGTGTGAATCCTACCTAATTTACCGATTTAACACTATTAAACAAGGAATAAATGAAAGCCCCGGTACTCTGGCATCGATTAAAATGCTAACAGACGAATAGCAACAGCAATCAAAAAGCACTTTTTTTTTTTTTTTAGATTTTGTTGTTAACAGTGGTACTGTGTTTGGGGCCGGAACTGGACCATCAACTTTTCTTTTATTTCTAGGTTCTGATATCCATTGTATTTCTTTTTACTTCTAGGTTTAACATTGTTCCCTTCCAGGTTTGACTCATGCATGCCTGCATGCACACAAGTAACCGTGCCGCCCTTTTCTTTTTTTTTTTTGAGACAGCACTTTAGTTTGCGCGTGTAACTCTCGTTTATTGTACGCTATCGTCTATTCGCGACTGCAGCAAAACGGACGCCGCCAAGCGGGAAAACCGGGAACCAGCCGGTCCAGGTCGCTCCGCGCCCCTCCGCGTCTCTGGTGGCTTTCGCAGACACGTATTGCCGGCGCGACGGCGAACAGTGTAATTTCACGAAGGTCCGAAAATTTCTTAAGTTCAACCTGAGTGTTCATTAGTGTGGTGAAGCCTCAGTAGATTGTTTCCTTCCATCACGTGTTTGAAAGCCCGTTTACTCCACACCACACGGTCTCGTGCTTTCGATTTTTTGGATGGGGAGAAATCACGGAAAAACGTTGATTTCTTGTCTGTCTCGAATCACATTCAAAGTGACGACCCCTTGGTAACTGATAAGGGGTTTCTTTATAAGGATGTAGAACAGTGGACTGAGGACGACAGACGAGGCATTTCACTGGAGGGAACACCATTGTTGCAGTCAAGTGCATGGGAAGGTTCGATAGCTGCTTTTCTTGAGTTTGGTTGTGTTCGATTAGCTTCAAGTTTGAGCCACCCACGCCGGTCGGTGCGTTGGCTATTCATCTTGGCTGCTTTTCGCCGAAAAAGCCTCTGGACCACTCTGAAGGAGTTGGGCTGATTTCGCAATTACTTGATTCAGGAAAACCTGCTCGCTGCAAATGATGAATGAGGGAAATTATCCGTTTTCAAAAGGTGAGGGACGCGTCTCGAAACGTTAGATGCTGTCACGGCATTTTGATCTATCGCGCCTTCAATATTTATATTATACTCCCGTCGAAGCCAGCAGCAATATATATCTGCATTGCTCAGGTTGACCGGCCACAAAAAAATACTTATTTTCTCCGTTCGGGATTCGAAGCAAAGTTCAGTGCAGAGAGGTTCTGCGTGAACTCCAATGAAGACTCTCTTCAGTTTGTCTCCGTGCTGCCGGCTAGAACCATTTGGCTAAGTTTAAGTAGTATCTCTCCGTCTGTCAAATAGACTTTTATTCGGCAGTTCACCTAATATCTAGTCAACTAAGCTCATATTTCAACCCGAAGAATATACTAATATTGCTTTAGTGGGACCATAGTACGTAATATAATACATAACCCGCTCGTCAAAATGACTTCTCGATTGCTACTAAAACCTGAATTGAAATACGAGTATCAGCTGCTTAGTGGGGTGCCGGCGGGTTAACATGCTCCTTGGCTCAAGAAGCGCTTGCTTAATTTTCGTAATTTTCCTGCAGCCTGTGTTCTTGACCGAGCAGACGACTGGAGCTGTTTCTTAAACGCGGATACGCACAAAAGCTCGATTTCGCGGACAGAGAAGTCACATGGTCGAGGCATGCGAGTTAGCTGAATATTACTCTCGGTGGAAGAATTCTGTAGTCATTGCCGCTTTCCTTATATGATCAAAACTGATTAGTGTATTACCGTCTCTCCGGAGCCCATAGCTTCGGTTTTGGACGAAATCTCCGAAAAGAAAGTTTGACACGAAAATAACAAAAAACACCGGGAAAACAAAACCATGCTTTGAAAGTTTATGTGCACCGGCTGCACTTAACCGTCTCAGTTCAAATACCATTAAAATTGGGCATTAAACAAAAGAAAATCTGTTAAATTGAACGCGCCACCTGTTCAGGCGGCCCGGCCGAGCCGACGCGACCTGGACTCAGCCGCCATGTTTGTTTGGTGGTGGCGCCCCCTATACACGTTTGCAAGTCCGGTCTCAGGGCGCCGCCATCTTCCTCAGTGGGGTGCGCTCTCGGGAGGGAGCGGCCATAATCCGATTACGACGCCTTAGCAAGGCTTCGTAATCGGATTATGACTGGTCCAAGCGCACCCCAGACAGGCAAGATGGCAGCGCCCTGAAGCCGGACTTGCAAACGTGTATAGGTCGCTGGAGTTGCGAATATAGGTCACCGCTGCCGGCCCGAACACAAAGTCACCCTGCACCCCCTCTCAAGAAGCTACAACCGTCATCCCGCCGTCCTTGAAACTTAGCACCGACCGTCAAGCTTCTTCACCCGGATAAGAACTGCCCTGCGCTTCCCTCTCTCGAAAGCTTCAACCGTCACCCCTCCGAAATTTGGTCTCGACCGTAGCATTGTATAAATACCACCCGCGTTCATCTGTAAAAGTTCTTCCTGACGAAGGCCGGACTCCGGCCGAAACGTCGAAGATTAAATCGTCCGTTGTTGCTGTTTTTCACTAAGGGTTTTTTTCTTCTCAGTTTTATACCCACGCCTTCGGCCTCCCGCCACCATGCCCGTTATATATATATATATATATATAGAGAGAGAGAGGAAAGTAAACACATATATATATATATATAGAGAGAGAGAGAGAGAGAGAGAGGAAAGTAAACGTACCTCGAAGCTTTTCATGGAGTTTTATTACATATAGGTCGACGTTTCGGCCTGAGCCAGACCTTTTTCGAAAAAGGTCTGACTCAGGCCGAAACATCGACCTATATGTAATAAAACTCCACGAAAAGCTTCGAGGTACGTTTACTTTCCTATGCACTTTTCGTCGTCCTATGCAACAGTATTTTTCTCTCTCTCTCTCTCTCTATATATATATATATATATATAAACAATATCGTACTAAATAGTTATAGTTCATAGGTATGTAAAAATGTTTATAAATATATAAACACTATCATTCTACTTATTTAGGACACAACTTTGTCTTCTTTTATGCCAGCCCCCTAGACTTCTTTTCGTCTGAAATAAAGACATTAATTGACCCTGAAAACATTTTTGAACGCGTCCTTCCTTTAATTCTGAGAAAAACGCGGATCAATAACACATTTTTTTATACTAAAACGCCCTGACTATCCTGTTTACTGATTTTTCCCGAACACAGGGGCGATAGCCATCGAGTCAAAACCGTTTAAAAACAGACCGTGACCAGCGAGAGCGTTTTCGTTGCGTTTGTAGGTCTTCTCACTGCTATGCGACAGTCGTGAAATGGTCGAGCTTTACGTGCTCAGAGTCGGTAAATAAAAGTCGACCCGTGCTCCGATTGCACACAGTTGTTTTCAAATACGCTGCCCAGACACTGCAGCGGTATGCTATACCAGGAAAACTTTATGGACCCTTCACAGCTGTCGGCGAAGCAAACATATGACACCGCGAATACCTTTTGCCAAATTGGCCAAGCACCAAGGCGAATACTGAGCCCGTACGTATACAGGCGCTGGACGCTTTCGTCTTATGATTATAAGTAATATGAAGTAAACGATGAATATAAGGTTTTGAAAATCGCACATGAAAATGCCGTTTTTTTTAGGCGTTTTACTGCTCCAGAAAGCTGCAGGTGCAATGCGTGTACCTAAGCTCGCAGTATGCTCCTTGGTACTTGGGTAATGTACCGAAAGCCATATTCATTAAAGCTGGATAATACTGACACCTGACCCAATATAGTAACATCAATTAGGGTACGGCTAGAGCTACATATGAGAAAATTTTAGATTCACTATTTTACACGGTCTGAAAAGTAATAGAAGAATTACCAAATTAATTGTCTTTTTTTCGAATACTTTTGTTTACTTCAGTAGGTCACGTGATCCTTCCTGCTCGTGGTAATGTTTTTATATCTGTCTGTTTTATAATGGAACAACTGAGAGGTGTGGACGCTGGATAACTGCTTCTTATGCCAAGTCGTCCTCTATTTTCTTCGGTATTAGCTCAAGTAATTAGTGTAACGTTACATAATCATTCTAGTTCATGTAACCATGGCGTACGAACTAGGTGACTTCGCTAGTAATGATTATTATATTATTTAATGATTATTACCTCTGAACGCAGAAAATGTATATAGCTGATTACTTTAATGGGAGTCTAAGAAATCCACCGCGAAATTACACCTAAAAGAAACAGATTGCGATCTTCCTACATGTCATTTATAACATGAGTTGCCCTCGCAGGTTGCCTTAGCAGGAGCGCCCATCAAAGCAATGCAACGAAACACCTCAGCAGCAGAGCACGTGTGGCTTTACACTGGCCAGGTCAACACCACGTGTAATACCTAAGGCCTCTGAGCAGTTTCCTCTATCCCTATAAATATGAAATGCAATTGTTTCATCATTTTATTTTGTTTCCGATGAATCTCATTATTTGTGCATCATGACTAAGGCATCAGCTCTTCGTGAGCACAGAATTTTATGAGATGATTGAATGAATGAGTTATTTGGCACAGTCGGATAACGGCTACTCAGCAATGGGGTTCGAGCTCGAGGTCGAGTATCCTTCAACGCAATGCCTTGACACGAGAACCAGCTGAAGGTAGAGGCAGCACACTTCTCAAATTTACAGGCGTGCGCTCGATCGCAGTGTGATGACGTCAAAATTCTAGTGCACTGGCATGGTGTTAACCAGGCTCACTGCAAAGGACTGTGTATCCTCCGTGCCAAACATAGCACAATAAGACCCCCCCCCCAACTTCTTTTTTTTTTTTTTAGGGGGGGGGGGGGGGAGTGTTGTTGCAGATAGCAGACGCAATGGCAGCGTAAGGCAAAAATTTTAACAAAGCCAGGGCCTTGTCTCACCTCGGAGCCAGCGAAGCAGGAATGAGTCTGTGTGCTCGTCAGATCTTATGTCCACCAGGCGGCTCTTGAGCTGCATTGAGAAGGAACTGAGTGTCTCTGACTTTTCGAATATTATGGGAGACCGGGACATTTCGACTAGTGGTTGAAGACGCATGCTTCAATACCAGGAAATTCAGCACATTATGTACACAGGTTACATAAGAACGTAACTGACGCTTTAATTAAAAATAAATCTGTATGTTCACTTTCCTGGAAAGCATGGAGACAGTCAATCGCAGCGCACGAGAGAATGATCACAAGGAGCGAAAAAACTTAAAATACACGTAGACAACAACAAAAAAAGCAAAGTGAGCAGGAACAATGATCATACGTTTAACTTGCCCAGTGTCCCTGCGTACATGCATCTAATGGTCTCAAATATAATCGTGCTACTCTTAGCACGAATAGATCGCGTATTAATTCCCTTGAATTCTTCTATTGAGCGAGGTGATCGGATGTGTCTGAGCTATGCGGGATAGTAAACTCGCAGGCTTTTCTTAGAGTGCAGCACTGCCACTTGTTACTCGCTCCAATGGTAACTATAGCCATTAACAGTTTAAGAAAGACGGGGTGTGAATTAATATGTTAAAGAGTCTTGCTTCTTGAATCGTTTTTTGTCGGTCTTATCGGCTAATGCAGTAATCTATTGTTGCCAACTCAAACTTTGAAAACCCGCAATTGGAATCCGAAGAAAAACAACTAAAAACCGCTGAGTTTTAGGGGCAAGGCAAGAATGACTTTTGAACAGAATTTACCGCTGTAGTTTGTTTAGAAACAGCATGATAAATAAAGAACCCTTATAAGGGAGTTATGGGTTTTGACTCATCTTGCTTCCTTGCACAGAATGATGTCTACTGCATGAACTTATTGCTACCAGGTATTACCAAGTGTGCTATATTTGCCATACCTGCCGATGTACACCACCATCATTCCAATCTTTAGCGCAGTATCTGGTGGCAGTTCAAATCGTCTAACGTCGCACGGAATTTCCAGTAACCAGTCTCGAAGTTTCGATTCCTACAGCCCCCATGTTTCCTGAACTATTGTGCAAAGTTCACTGGGCTCATTTCATCTGGCAGGCTTGGAAAACGAGTTCCTACATTCGCGCATAAATAAGGTAAGAGGATATTTCAAGGCTTCACACAGTAATATCTGGATGGCGTCACGAAAGCTACTCTCACTAACCACAATTGTTGTTTTTTTTTTTTGTGAGAGTAAGCAAAGATGATGACCCTGACTGTGTCTTATAAAATAAATTAAGCTATTTAGACCATCAGAAAAGATACACATGTTAACATAAATTCAACACCACGAAAAATCCCGCCTTCCAAAAAAACGACAAATTATTCTTCTAGACAACTCAGAATACTGCTAAATTTAGAGGGAAAACCGCTGAATTCGCAACACGGCTCCTTGGCTGCAGAGCGGTGGCTAGATGGCGCAAGCTACAGCCCATTGTGGAGGGTAAAGCCGCTAGCATCCATCCATCCATCCGTCCATCCAGCGATAATAAGATGCTCCGAACTGGCCTCGTACGGCATTTTTTAAGCTGCAAATGACATATAAGTCGTTACTAGCTGCACCCATCGTAGAAGTAGGGCAAGGTGTAAATCAATAGGTAACACGTTCCGATATCAGTGCGGTTATCCACACTGTGTTGTTGGCCAACAGCCTCCCCAGTGCAATATATTAGGCATTTCTGAACCATCTCCGGTATGTCCAAGTGCTTCATTTCTTTACATAGGATCGCGATAAAACTTAACCGCCGTGCGATTTTATTCACGGATTGCTCTCCTAGCAGCAGGTGGTCGGCTGGCGACAGGTTCATTGAAAAACTTCGAACTTTGAAGAGTTCAACGACAGATATGCCAAATGGCATTTAAAGTACGTCGCGCCTTTCTATATATGGTTTGAATGTAATACTTTGCATTTCGCGGTAATTGAGAATTTATGTATAAGCTCGTACTTCACCAGAAGTTGATCTTTTAATATTATGTTTTGGTACAATTAACAATATTACATGTAAATTGCTTTGGCAATCCAGTGATTATTCAAGTTATGTATTTATCGTCGATTTATACTTTTCCCGATTAACCGGACACATGTAAAACTTGAAAACATGCACTAAAAATATTTTTTTTTGTAAAAGTTTTATCATATTCTTAAAGGACCAATGCAACAATATTTGTACTTTGCGCAAATACCGCTTAAAACGGATCCTTAACGTTAATGACCTATGAAACACGCGTTCGTTTTTAACCCCACGCAATAGAAGTTCCAGAAAAAAATTTAAGAAAAACGAGCAGCGTTCACCCCCTCAACTCGCAGCCAGAACAAGCGGCCACGTGATCTGGAGCCGATTATATGCCGCCAGTGTTGATCATAGCCACGCGCTGGGGTTGGCAAAGCGCAGGACACGCGCTGAGTTCCAGGCATTGTTATGGCTCGGCTGTTGTCGTCGTTGCAGCGATTGGACACGGGTCAAAACCCGAATGCTTCTCGAGCTAGCAATTGTCACGAGCCCAAGTCGAGTGCCCACGCAATGCTCGGGTCCAATCTATGAACCGCATTCAAATATCGTCACTTGGGTGTACTGGGACCCCCGAGTTACGTCATCAAATTTTGCAAAGGAGAGATTGAATGAAAAGGATCGCTTTTGTCCTTGAAATTACACCGCAACAAAGGAGTTTCTTGGCCAATGGCGTTGCGTGTGAGTATCCTTGAGTCCCAGGTGTGCCAGTAAGCTCGTGTATAGAGAGATACATTCCAATTGAATATCGTTGCACAGCTCCTTTAAGCCACAGCATCGTGTTAGAGAATTTTCCTTCGTTGCGTTTCGTTTCACACGTTGCTGCTGCCCATGGTAAAGGGAGGCAAAGGATCAGTAAAGCTGTAGCATTTTTTGTGTGAAAATCCACTCTATTATGTTTTTAAATAATACAAGCGTTTCTAGGAAAATCCCGCATAGCATTGTTCGCTATTACTTCAACAATACTTAAAAACTGTCAACTTGGCGTCAGTGAAAAGGTGCAAACATTTTTTCTTGTCGTCTCTTCACTTTAACACTTTATTTCTAGGTATACGCGAAACAAACGAATGAATTAAATTAAACAATAAATTCAAAATTGCTCTTCTTTTATCGCCTAAACAATATGAGCTCAATTATTGCGGTTCACCACTTATATAACCATGTATCCATAATTATCGGTCTCTTAAAAATGCACTAATGTGAACAGAGCAAATTTAAAGGAGTTTGTCTTTTTTTTTGAAAGTGTTTCTTTGGAGATTTGTTTTTTGCGCTCAGGCGCCATTTAGGCGGGGGTAGCCCTGCTCTAGGCACCGCCCGGTGCTTACAAAACTAAACACCTTGTTTCTGTTCTCATTGGTTGGAGAAATGATAGACGTGTGAAATATATGCTGTAAACCTGTCTCTCCGTGGCGTAATAGTACTTTTATCGACGTTATTTTTTTATGTTTGAGAATCAAGACGATATAGATAGAGTCATTATTGTTTTAAAAAAAAATCCGAGATTGCCTTTCCGGTTCGTCTCCAACCGATAACGACCATGGCTGCCGGCGCATATACGGCGTGCTCAAGGAGCATATATAGTTGAGATAGTTGCTTTTTATGACTGCGAGTCGTTCAGACTTCACCGAGGTTATATAGGAACATTTCTTCAACCGATCTTGTTTGTAGCAAACAACTGTCGCAATTACGTGCCTTTGGAAGCGCCGTGAGGGTGCTTGGGTTCGTGGTGGTACTGGCCTAAGCTTATCGTCACACGCCTTCAGAAGCGCTGTGCCGGTGGGTGATTGGATTAGTAGCGGGACTGGCCCAATCCTAGGGTGCCACGTGACTACGCTGCTTGATCTCGCTTGATGTGTTCCTTCGCGCGAGTTTGTGCTAAATAAAGATGTTTGTTCGCGTAAAAGCGGCCCTGCTGCTCTGTGAAATGCGCAACCGTTGTGATTACAACCACGGTTTAATACCGAGAATATATATCTACCTACTCCGGTAAGAATTTACGAGCTATTTGACTGGAGGCAATCGGGCGTTTCTTTGTTTATGTTGCCGTCATTTCCGTTCAGAAAGCAAGTCGCTCTTAAGTTTTGCAGTGCACCTAGCCTAACAAAAGTAATATTTTCTCGTCGCAGTTTAATTGTGTCTCCATGACGCTCACCTACCTTCCTCGCGGATGTCATGTGTAAAAAGGTCGGTGGACGCTTAAGCTTCTCCTTTAAAGGGATGCTGAACCAAAAATCGAATTTCAGAAAACAACGCAGGATCGATAGGCGGGATGCTACAAATCCTAAAACGTCACTCGTAAAGTGGTATCTCCAACTGATCGTCGTATTTTTTAAAAGAACAGCGCGCTCGCACGAGGGCCGAAAGACGATCAGTTGCTCATGCGATGCTCATTTCCTCCTCTTTTCGGTTTGACACCGCGAGGGCGCGGAGAGGAAAGGGAGCGAGGCAATTTGTCCTCCTTCTCAACTCTGCTGCGATAAGATGACGTCAACATTGTCCATTGCTCGCTCCTTTATTTTCCAGAAATACGGCCATCCGCTCGAGATATGGCTATATGAGTGGTGTTTTGTGGCTTATGGTGCCGTGTTGAACAAGTCTGCAAGCTTATTTCGTGAAATCCGAATTTCGGTTCAGCATCCCTTTAAAAGTAGAACGTGAGAGCGTTATCGAATCCTCGGCCCGCTTATGGCGCACCACCTCTTCAAGCCTAGCCTTTGTCTCCGCCTTCTCTGCTTTAGTCTCACGTGACCGACTCCGTCGCCGAGCAGGAGCGGACGTAGATGTGACATCCGCACTCGTGGCAGATGACAGCTGAGAAAAGCGCCCCGCATTGGTACATGGCGCCGCATCCATCGCACACGTGTCCTCTCCTGGCAGCCTAGCGGCGGCCTAGCTGCGGGGTACGCATCCTCCACGGACGAACGATGACGGCAGGATCGCAGCGCCACTGGGCGGAATCGGCGACGGATGGAAACAGCACGCTCCTCCAGACAGTCGAGCCT